TGGAGGTCTCCGTACTTATGAATGAGTTCACTAAATGAGAACATTTTTCTAAATTTTTACAGTTAATCTAATTCATGAAATGTGCACTTAGCGCTGGGAACGAGGTGAATCTTTCATTGACTTAAATAAGTGGCTTTTCTTTAACTCACTGCCTCCACCGCCCCGGGCACAATCGTTATTTTTCCCGGGATAAAAGTACAGTTATACACGGTTAATAACGTGTAAACGAACTCAGGATATTTTTCTAAATTTTTACAGTTCATTATATTCCTAAATCGCGCGCTGACTGCTGAGGACGAGGTGAATATTTTATTCATATTAGAGTTTATTTTTAGTTCTCCACACAAGGTGCCCCATTTACAACTTGGTTAGCAGCAGTGGCTAACCGGCTAGCTCCTACTTTAACTGACTTCACCTGACTTGGCACGGCTCCGCTCAGCTCAGCAGGGCCAAAGCGAGCCGTGTGGGCCGTGTTCGGCTCGTGTGGCGTGTGAGCCGCTGCGTGTCCCGTGTTTGTTCGAGTCCTGTGTGTCTTTAAAAACGAAGGAGCAGCCGGAGTTTGAACGGCTAGCCTGCTAGCTTGCTAGTTAATATGTGAAGTGAAAGCGGCTTACCTTTCTTTCTCACTGGCATGGTGGTGGTCTGGCTCGGCTAGATCCGCCTCAGCCGCATGCAGTCCTCACACAGGACGGTTTTTGTTCGCGGTTCCGCCGGATAAACCCGCCGCTGTCACCGCTCCAAGTCAGGGCTGAAGAAAATCCCTCCGAGCCAAAAGCCCTCCGGACGGAGCGTCGGGGGGCAGACTGGCACAACAACAGCGAGCCTCCGGGGACGGCTCAGCCAGCAGTCCCGCTAACAAGTGAAGCTCCGCTGAGCTACCGACTCTCACAGATGTAGTTCCCCGCCGGAGAGGCTGTGTGCGCCGGCGTGCACCGCGCAGGCTGACTCTGGAGCTGGCTCCGAAAAGTGCAGATCTGGCTCGGACCGAGCGGGACCTGCAGTGTGCCAAAGTCCGGGAAACACCCGCTGCTGTGCAGGCGGCGCATGCATGAGCTGCCCGCTGCTGCTGGGTGGAGGAGGAGCGGCTCCGGGTTCGTCCAGAAATAAAAAAAAACTTCAAAGCCAGGCTGGCGGCACACCTACACTCACTTATCCCGCACTGGTCCGCACCGCTCCGCCGTGTCCCCGCCTGCGACGTGCATTCGTGTCAAACTTCTGTGAAATCCCTCCTCCCTCCTTTTTCCTCTT